TTTAAGAGATATAAATGATGGTGTAGTGTACTCTAGTTGACCAATTGATAGACTCTGATGGACAAGGTATTTATTCCTACTTGAAAACATCTCAATATTTTTCATCTCTATTGACTTGATGTTTGACACTTGACATTAATCTTTCACTCAAAAAAATTCCACGTCCTTAAAAGGAAATTTCTTTTCTTATAATGTTAAACTTACAAGGATATATACGATATATATTCTCAACAAGAATATTTCCTTTTAAAGACATTATCCAGTTATAGAAAAAAATAATTAATTTATTTTTGAAATTGATAAAAGATCGTTTTTAAGATGAATTGACAATTTATTGTAACAACTTTATTAAAATTCTATAAAAATATATTAAAATAATCGAAAAGTAAGTATAAATATTGTCAATATATTATGGATAATTATTCTTCTACCAACGTCAGTATTCATACAAATTTTTTTAAATAAATTTATTTAAAATGGTTTATAAACAAGTCTCATGATCTTGTTCTTGATGTCCTCGACAAGCCCACGCTTACTTACAAGTATAACAAATTTATCAAATGATGATAATTACTTATGAAGTCTCGTTTCGCAAAAGTATATACACTGATCATGATTGAAAATTCATTAGTAACAGGAAATCAATTACAGAAAGTTTAATCAATATATTCTTTTCCATGCATTAAATATTATCTCAAAATAAATCATTGATAATTTTTGCAAATCAATAAAATCAATAAATTTTTATAAACAATATACAATTGTTTAATCACATAAAGTTATTTATAACAATATTTCATCGATATTTATCGAATACATTCATAGTAATGATTACTCGATCAATTAAAACATTTTCAATTGTTTATAACAAATGTAAATTTAAGTAATTCGATTATTGTGTTTAACATTATAATCACTTGAATTTGTAGTAACTCCAGAAGTTAAAAAAGTATCATAAGATATTATTGTCACTTCTTTTTCCTGATCTCTTCATATCACAATTGAAAAAATTTTCTTTTATTCCAATTTCTTTTCATCGTTTCAATCTTTTCTACCCATGATTTTTTTTTGCTTTATTTTATACTCTTGAGATGCATCAAGTTGATCTACGTTTGAATCTCGCCAGGTACAAAATTAGTGATCAATCACCTACGATTATATACACAAAAACGATCTTTCACTGTTTAAACGAAAAAAAAAATTGTATATTGATATTTTTATTTCTCAGGATTTTGGTCATCTCACATTAATCTATATCGCTACTACCCAAATTTAAATAAACGCTCTTCAATTGAATAAAAATCATTTTTATTTTATTTTCGTTTATGCCTTTCAATTGAATTCAACAAAGAAGTTAAAAAATACACGTGAATAATTTTCTTGAATAAGAATATTGATATCTTTACATTAAATATCAGCTTAGAGGTCACCGACTTGGAGTTCAATGTTGATTATTATTAAAAAAAAATTTATTTATACGATCGATCATTGATTCTGTCAACTCTTTTCAACATTTCGATGGAATAAGTATCACTGCACTTGATCAAGCGAAAGATTCTAGGACAAAGGAATAAAAGGACGAAAATTTTCAAGCATGATCGTGATCGATGACACATTATTCAATAAAATCGGAATCAGTCAGTGTACGTTTTGATATAAAATATTTTCCAAACTTTTTAAAATTAAAATAAAAATTATTGTTTTAAAAAAAATTTAAAATATCAAATTTTTGGTTAAACTTGAAAATTGAAAATAATGAAGTAAATAATAGTAATACCAAGGCATAGTGCATATTGCAATTCTCACTACTCCTTCCTTTCTACTCTAAATTTTTTATTTACTTATTTTTTTTTTTTTTGTTATTACTTATTAATACATAATACACAAAATATTTTGTAATTTACGAGGCTGAAGGCCTTCGGGCGATGGCTGGCTGCATACCTCAGATTGCAGTCATCAGAATAAATATAATAGTAATAGCAGAAGAAAAAACTAATAATAATTCAGGTAATAGTTGGTAAGAAAAATTAATTTTATTAGTAACCGTCAATATGAGTAGCAAATGATGGTTATCTGCAGCTGCGACATTTTTCCTAGAGACCACACGACACATGCTGAGGAAAATAAAACAAAAAAAAAAAACGACTTCTAAGAGGCTGGCGTAGTAGTACAAGTGAGATCGATAATATTTTATGCGCGTGTCTGTGCTTCATGATTTTTATTCTTTTCTAGACTCTCACCTGGCATCTTATAATTACAAGTCTGAAAATTTCATCATATATTACCTTTACTCCAATCAAGTTCGACATTTAATTTATAATCCTTTCAATTTGATTTTCAAAATCATTTCTTTTTTTAAATAAAAAAAAATTACGTAAATAAATAATATTAATAAATAGAAATAAAGTCAGGTGCTTAAGAATAAGAAAAGAAAAAAAAATCTCCAAAAGATCGTGTGAATTTTTTACAATTGTAAAGATCAGTTTTTTTCTCTCGTCCTTATTCATCTATTTTCCCCACTCTAGGATTTTTTTATTGTCATACTGAACCTGTCGTTTGACATTGTGTATGACTCATTTTTTTCTTATTTATTATATTTTATTTTTTCATTTTTTTTTCATGTTATAAGAGTGACTATCGATATTTCTCGAAAATCAAGTTGACCGACTTGACAATTGTGTGGAAATAATAATAATAATAATCATCATCGAAGAAAAAATAACCAATTCCTTTTGATGGCCAACAGGGAATCGTTTTCAAAAAGTATTTAGTAAGTCGACCACCAAAAAATGTCTCGATTCCACGAGATTCTAATATAAATCAGACTCTTTCCAATATCAAACTTATTTCTATTTAATATATTATTATTATTTTACCAACAAATTCAACATGTAATCGAAAACTTGTAACCAGGACTATGCTTCATTAATAGTAGTTCTTAAGTTATTTTTTATATTTTACAATTTGTTCCTTTTCTCCGTCTAGACCAAACTTGTCTATTATATCTATCTACTGATTTTTTATATATTTCAGGTACTTCTAGAAAGTCCATTTAAATCACAATTGTGATTGCTGTCATGCCTGTAAGATGAGTGACCAGACAGCAGTTATTTCTATAAGCCAGCTCCAATACTCCTATTCTATCTTCGTCCTTGTTGCCTTCAATGTTGTTGTTTTATTCAAAATCCCAATTTCTGCTAGTCCTTCAATCAGTACTATTGATAAGACTTTCATGTTTCTTTTCGCTCGGATACCTAAGTTTATTCGATCATAGCCTACGTTCTTCTTCTTAGACCTAGCCTTTCGACCCATAGATAGGCATGAGGGGATCTTCGATAGACAAAAAAAAATCAAACCTTTTAAATAATTTGTTTTTTTCCAATTTTATGGGATTCAAATAAGCTACTTCTAAGAACAAACGAGGTAAAAAGCGCCACACTCTAAGCTTTATTGTCATTTAAAAAAGACTTTGTCTAATTTAATGGTTCGATCGGCACTACCACCTAGTAAGAAACTGATGCAGATGTTGATATTTTTATCGATCCAATCGACAAGAGAGATGCACACTCTTGTCCCAACTAACAAGATGACATTCCTTGATATTGTAATATTAATGTACCTCTCTAATACCAGTAACAATACCTCACACCCTAGCTCCATGAAAAACAAAAATAAATGCTTGATTCTTAAAACTTTTTTTCTCGTTCGATTCCTTGACTCTCGGAAGCTTATGGGTTTTTGAGAGGTCATTCTGACTCTTCCACCAGACCTCCTACGATCTTAAACGATAACATTTAAAACACCTTTTCTTTTAGATTTATTTGTCTCACCTTTTCTTTAATTATTTATTTATTTTTAGAGTTATTTTACGCTTTCAAATTTTTTTTTTTGTGTGGATTATACATAAATAATGATTAATAAATAATCCTAGCACGTGGCGCCAATGGAATAGTTGACTAGGAATGACTAGAAAATTTTTTAAAGATTTTTTTCTAAAATGATTCATTATTTTTAATCGTCGCCAAAAATATCAATGACAGATACTGCATAAACGCGTCAGTTGTAATCACGTGTCTTCGGTCACGGTATTAAATTTTTTTTTCGCAGGGGTCCTTAATGACGAAATTAGTCTCGATATATCGCACCATTTGGCTAAATGAAGGCACCAGTTTAAGTGGGATTTTAATGGCATTGAACACGACATTTAATCCGAATAATTCAAGTCGATATAAATTTTTTTATTCATCTCTTTCTAACTAATTATGAATCAGTTAAAAATTTATCTATCTATTAATAAATATATAAATAATCCTAGCAATTAATTTTTTTTCCAAACTACAATTTTAAATAATGTGTTGGATCAATTAGAACAATTATCAAAAATCAATCAAACATTTTACTGCTCCATTTAATTAATGACCAACAAGAGAGAAAATATTGTTCATAATGAAAATAAAAAATAAATATTCTAGGAAGTAAATAAATTCACAATCTAGACATCTAGAAGGGTCAAGGGCCCATCACCCTAGGGGGTGTGAAACCGATGAATGTCTGCTAAACGAGTAGAATGGTTCTTAAATAGAAAGCATTAAAATCTACATACTCTGTCCTCTCCCCTGTGTAACCTCCTTTTATCATTTCAGTCACCTTTTGTGCCCCTCTTTGCTCTTCTTCCCCCAACATCATGACGAAATCTCTCTTTAGCATGAAAACCGAATACCGTAATAATGAAATAAATCGTTACAAGGGAAAGCGAGTGATTGAAATGTACAGAGTTTTCGAGAGATAACCAGTAGAGTTTTTATCGGACATATTTTTATTTGTGTGTTGTATAGTCAATAGATAATGATAAAGAAGTTTACTCGCGCACGCGCCTTGGCTCGTGCCGTTAATGAGCCCGCATAGTGTCCAAGCACGACAGCGTGTTTCACATGCACAACATAATCACACAAGGCATACACAAGGCCCAAATGCGAAAGATACAAGGAGACTAGACTTACCTCACTGGGACTCACACCTGCAGCTTGCGGCTTCTTCAGCATCAACCAGTGCTTTTCCATCACTTACTTTTACACTGAAACAATCAAAAAATTTATTATAAATATTTATTAATGAATGAAGAAAAATATTATTCAATTCTTATTGCATAAATTATCTTGGTTTTTTAGATAAAAGTTGTTTTATTTTTTAAACTGCTGACCAATAAGGATTTATTCATAATAGCCAGCAAGATGTGAGCATTTAAAGTAGTAAGATGACGTTCGCAAAATTTCAATCATAGGTTTAATTACACAATGAATATTAATGTTTACGTTAATAATTCAAGTAAATCATTAATATACAAAACTTCTGAGTACTTTATACAAATGATTTCGATCTTAACTGTAAATTATTTATGAAATTCTCGTGGTTTACCGACACGACAGATGTTTTAAAGAGACAACGTTAATGTCCAGTACATTTATTACATAAAACTCTACACTCAGCCCAAGCATAATAAATAAATTAATTAAATAAACTCATATTTATATTAAAAATAATGTTCCAACAGAGAGACAATGATTTAGAATTCAAAAAATGATTTAATACTAATATGTCGTTTAGAAACATGATGAAGGTAATGGATGATGAATAGAAATAACAGCGAGCAAAAGAGCAATCGAACTTATTTATAGGACAGAAGAAGAAGCGTCGGCGTGACGAGCTCATACATTATATTATTTTATATAGAGACTGGGATGCGCTGCCCAGTAAATACAAGGGCTTTGTTAGAACTTGTGTCAGACATGGTTCTATGTGATGATGACTATGTGAGTGAGTAGGGATAGAGCGGACAATAGGACCACGCCGTTTTGCGGTTTTTTCATTTTTGGCACGCGCACGTTTGTACCCTCTAACCATAGTAAACGGATACCCCACAATAACGCTTTATTGTGTGTAACTCAATACCCGCTAAATACCGACAAGACAGGAACAAGATGTCCCGTAATCAGAATCTGTTGTCTTTAGTTTAAATATCAGTCTGTTTAATTATTTATTTATACTTTATTATTTTAACAATAAATTCTAGGGATTTTAAAATTGTTATCTAGTTTTTTTTTATGAATAAAATTGTTTCATTATTGCTCCAAAAAATTTTTTCCATTAAAATAATTTTATTAATTATTGTCCCTAAGAAGTTTCGTCCCTAGAAAAATTTTATTTTGCATAAACGATGGAATTTAAATAAATCAATCTAAATATAACTCATTTAAAATGCTCCTGCTGATAATCTTCCACTACCAGATTAAACTGGTTATCAAGGTCGCATAAAATCGATCATGTTGATTGATAAAATTTTTACAAGTGATTCAAAAGCGTGAATGAATTTTGAAATAAGAATCATTGGCTATTTAAAACTATCTTTATTTATCAATTTATTTTTTTCTTATCAATCAACTACTTTATACTTTAAAATCACTCTTGTTCTTATCTTCTTACTCAAATTTATTAAAATATTTATTACAAATAAATTGCAAATCAACAGACGTAAGAATACTTTTAATCTATTATAATCATATAAACATTAAATACCACGTGTTCAAGGGTCACGTGGCAATCTCTCCACCGCCTCCTGCCCTTCACTTTCTTCTCTCTTTTCATCCATCATCAACTCTGACATTTTAATTTTTTTTAATCACTCTCCCAAATGCATTAAATGCAACTAACATGTCAGATCATTTACATTTTTTATTACCGGCTGAGTAATATAAATAATATATTTATTTTTGTATCAAAATTATTGACGTGACTGATAGTAATTGATTTTTATTAAATGGAATCAACTTTTTTTGCTGATGAATCCAATCGTAACTAATCATTTTTATGTCATCAGGTCTAGTCATTAGGTAGTCATTTTGATCCCATGTGGAACGCAATCCTCTCCACTATTAATGAAGTTAAGTGTAGTCCAAATTCAACTGGACCAACTATTGATGATGACTATACACAATGAACCGAATCGAATTTATTTTCAAGCATATTGCGACGATTAAAAATCATGAATCAAGTTTTCAATTAATTTCGGAGCACGTGCCAGTTTATAAATAGAAGAAAATTTAAAATATTCTCTACTAGATATATCATAAATTATATTTTAATAAAAAGGTCATATCAGTAGAAATGTTTTAAATGCACAAATTATTTTATAACAGTTTATGGCAACTATTCTAGATATTTAGAATGCAAATTAATTATTAGTCAATAATTTTGTTTATAATATTTAGTAATAATTTATATATAAATTATTGTAAGTAAGTATTAAAAATTTTATTTCTGTACCAGGCGTTTGTGATTCTGTTAGCTCGACGAGCTGACACTCAATCTCAAAACCAGTGTGGTGTTCCATAAAAAGTTTTACTTCAAAATTTTTTTTAATCAATAAGAATGGCTTTTAACAATAAATTTTTAGAAAAAAAAAAAAAAAAAGTGATTCAAAAAATCAAAAGAAATGGCCCATGAGGGGATCGAACCCGCGACCTTCGCGTTATTAGCACGACGCTCTAACCAACTGAGCTAATGGGCCAGTGTTGAAAACCTAACATGTTGATCTGGTATTTAAACTACTGTGCATCTGAATGCTTTTATTTCACATATTACCATATTTTATTCAAAATTTAAGTTTTTAATCTCTCTTGTTTACTCTAAAAACTATTTACTCCAAAAAAAAATAATTTAGGAATGATTTTTTTCATTAGAAAAGTAAGCTGCGCGTAGGAGATGCGCAGTCGTTCTACATCTTGTACAAATTCGATAAAAGCTAAGTTCTGAGTTTTTACAAATTATCATAATTTTTTTTTTTTTGGATATTCATTAACATTTACATACTGTGCTATATAAAAAATTATTGATGCAATTAAATAAAAAAAGATAATATATTTTATAATGAAGAGAATATTTTTGTTTGGATCTACAAATATCGTGGCACGTGACAAACGATAATAACAAGATATAATTTAATGAGTATTGGTAAAATAGTAGGTTTTTAAGATAAAAATGACAATAATAATAACAACAATAATAGTAATACTGTGGAAAGTCCATGAAGATAATCAACCCGTATGTTATAATCGTCATGTATTTGTTTCAGACATTATCGTTGTAAACTGTAGTTCACCTGCTCTCATAAACCAGCCACTGAGACATCGATTAATGTTTTCTAATGATTTTTCTATCTATATCTCATTGTTTTATGTTTCATTATTTATTACAATTAACCATTAAACATTTTTTTCTCTCTCATTCAACATCATTTTTTAGGATGAACAAATAATTTGTAATATTGTTATCAACAAATTGGCGTGAAAAAATGTCTAACATCACAGGAACTTAAATTCAAAAGGGCCTAAAGCGACGAAAATTGCATCAATAGAAAGATGATCTGAAGTATGGAGCAGCAAGTAAGACTTGAAAAGGGCTACGAGATTCTTTTGTACACTGGCATGTCTAGAGTCTTAAATTACTTACGATGTGTGTGGTACTTTCAGGTGTTTTTCATTCAATCTTTATTATTCTTAGCTTTAGATATTCATCATTTTTCAAAGAATTGCTTTATTTATTTAATCCATTAAATTTCAACAAATATTCTTTATAATTATTAACTTGCCATTAGGAAGTTATATATATATAAATATCAATAAAATATTGTTATAAATAACTTTATTGTTATTTTAATAACAATTTCTAACACAGACCCATTTTTAAACAGGCAATAATTTTACCAAATTCTCACATTAATTTTCCTAAATACAGCAAAAAATAAATAAAATTCCAATCAATATTCAAATCCACCCTTTTGCAAACCATTTGATAGTTTCTATCTCATAAATTAATCATGATATTGCATTTAATTGACAGCCATATTGTCCCATTCACCCCCATCTGCTGTCAAATAACTTCACCCAATTTATACCCCACTTAAAACATTCAACACCCGATCAAAAAAAAAATTACTTCTCTTATTTTAATAAAATTTATTCTCCATCTAATCAGTCTAATTCTTTCTATCATTTTAAACACCCATATCATCCTTATCAAAAATTCATCATCACAAAAAGAAATATTCCTGTATTAATTTATTTATTCGTTAAAATGCTACACAATCGAACTGATGATGAGCATGTGTTTATATGATCATGTAGGGGCAGCAGCAAGTCAGGGGGGTTTAATAACACCAGTTGCATGAACTCACATATCACCGTAATCGCTCCAATTATCCATGCAAATTTCTGATTCATCCTTACTACTTTTCATCCTCATACCGACACTCATTTATTCCTGTTACTGCATTATTTATCACCGTTTTATATCATTGGACAGACGTTTTGTTCCAATTTGTGGCTTTCATTGCTCCAAAAATATTCCTACATGAAATTTGATGGTTAGACGCCAAAGATCATCATCATAACCAATTAAATGTCTAGAGTGCCAAAGCAGATCCATGGAATATTTTCAGTGCATGTGGATTTATTTGGAAACATCTAGTGTCCAGCAGAGCATCAAAGCCTTCTAGGTATCTTTAATTCTTCCAATGTCGTCTCTAAACACACTATTGAGTAGAATTAAAAGGGCTTTTAACAGTGGACACCCTAGTAAAAGGGAAGATAGAGCTCCCTGTTGATCATCATGGAGGGGTGTTGTAGAGTCTTGCTGATTGGTGTGGGAAGATACCAAGAACTTTAGAATCCTAAAAAAAAATATCTCCCACATTTATTGAAGACTTTGAAGGAATATCAATCGCAAGTCAACTTAATTAAATGAAAGAAATGGAGATGATGATAAATTTGGAGACTTTTTGGCTTTTAGAAGGTTTTTATTGAAGATGATTCAGAAGCACAGAGTCAAGTTGGCCAAATGACGAGATCTGTTTATCAGTCGACGTCATAAACACAGCCCTTCAAGTCCTCAATTCAGTGCAGTATTGTCTCTAACTTCAGAGTGGCCACACAAAGGACATATTACAAAGGCACTTTACGTTATGTCGTGTGTATATTAACGTGACATTTGCATGAACACTGTGTGTAGACTCCCTAGATT